TAAGTATACTTTATTGTCACTGTAGAGAATTTTTTCTGATACAATAAGGAGGACCCATCTCCAGATGATGATGCTCGGCTTGGTCAGGACTAACGGATTTTGCAGATAGGCTTTGGCCAACATGGGAATCAAACCTTTTTGCTGTGAGCCATGAGCTACCCAGTCAGCCAGTACATGCCTGATTAACACAGGAATTTATAAAACAAAATGTATTTATTTATTATGACAGTGACTCCGTTGGTAGAACACCTCATCAGAGATCAGAGCACCCCTGATGTCTGCTTTTGTTGTGCCCCCCCCCCCCCCCCCCCCCCCCCCGACCCAGAAATTAAACACTAAAGGGGATGAAAACAACATGATATAATATTGATTACATAATATAAACTCTTGTACTTAAGATAAGATAAGAACACCTTTAATAGGGAAATTATTTTGTCTATTACATAATTTAACTGAAACTAATGCATTCAAACATATCCAACTCCATCCATCCATTAATTTTTTTCCCCCTTGGTCTATTTCTGGGTCAGGGGGGGTGGCAGTCAGAGTTGCACCCATTTCACAGAGCACCAGCCCCTCACTGATCCTCCTGCAGGTGGTGAGTCCACAGAAGATGGCTACTCTGTCAGTGATAGCACAGGCTTGATCTTTCAGTGGGGGCTTCAGGCAAAGTGGGGTGTGTTGCCCAAGGACACAACAACAGCATACATTGATGGGAATCGGTGGAGGTTTCATGGTGGGCTCGAACCGCAGCAAGAAACAACAAACAAGAGGTTGATAGTAATCAGTATTATCCTCATGGGTTGACATGGAATCATTGTGCCAATTTGATTTCCTTTTTTGAAAATACATTTTAATAAAGCAACACTAACATAAACAAACAAACATGCATGAAATAAGAAATATAAACAAAGTTCCAAATAGGTACTATCTACAAATAGGTAACATCCATAAATGTCATGCCCCACTGCTGAGACCTTGAAAGGGGGGGGGCTTCCACTTTGTAGCCACCATCCTTTTAGCAGCTGTATTTAGTTTTCCTTCCTGTCAGAGTTCACTGGTGCAATAGGAGTGATTTTAGCTTTGTGGCTAAAGAGGGGCTATTCTGTGCGGAGTAGGTGTCCTCCAAAAACATTGCAGAGCGCTTTGGGTGACCACGGTCTGTGAAATGCGCCATATATAAATCAAGAATACTTGTTGAGGGGTGGAGATGGTGTGATCGGTGTGTCTATATGTGTGTGTGTCTATATGTATGTATATGTATGTAGTATGTATGTATGTATGTATATGTATGTGTGTGTGTATATGCATGCATGTACAGTGTGTATCTCTTTCTAACTGTACTTTGTTTGCTAAATTTCTATTATTGTATTGTATTGTATTGTTTAGCATGTCTGCCATCCTTGTAACAAAGGAACGCCTCGAAAAAGAAATGATCCATCTCTTTATCTTATATAAATAACTAAACACAGCATAGTGGATTGACAGCCTGTGTGAAAGTGCTCTTGTCTCAGCCACAGTGCGCACCACTTCATCACACTGACGTAAACGTTCACACTGGTTTACTCTGACCTCTGTCTGACTCTTAATAATTGCATCCCTTTTGCCGTTTTCTCATAAAGTGTGTTGAGCTTTATTGCGAAATGCAGGAACCCAATTGGTCACACATAAACATCTGTTTGGCAAGGAAATTAGCCGTGATTACTAACTAACAACAGGCGTCGGCTGGTGGATGAAGTCCCATTCTGTTGTAACTAAATCAAAACTTCAACACTGCTGCCTATTCAGTCCTGTTCCATGCAAGAGTAACGTTAACAACAAGACATCATCTTCACATTTCTGCCCTTTAATCTTTACGGCCATCATGAAATAATGATTTAAACGATTTTCAAACAACTGGTGTCCTTTGGGGAATCGCATAACTCCATAACCTGGCACCAGCCACGTCCAAGCAAGCCAAACACATGGTCAACATTGTACCTAGCCAAACAGCAATACCGTAAGAGTGTTGAAAATCAAAATTGATCTGCTGTAAACATGCTATTATAATTGCGTTAAATAATCACTATTATGCATTATAATTGTTCGTTGTAAAAAAAATTAAATAGTGTTGGCCTGTAACGCCCTATGCTACCACCAGAGCAGGAAGTTTAGTATTTTTTTTTACCAATTCGAAAATGATCAACTGCACTGCCATGTGGGTGCAAAGAAGGCACTTGACAAATCACCATATTTAATTTTTGGGCACTACTTTTACTTTAAAAGGCAGAAAACTTCACTGAGCGTGATGTCATGGTGGTACAATGACATTCTACTTTCACAGGACCAGTGATGGGCAAGTGACATTAAAAAGTAATTTGTTATACATTACTTCTCCCCAAAGGTTATTGCGTTAGTAACTGCATAACTCAGGGGTAAGATTAACTACTGCGTTTAAAAGTCAAATTATCTCTTGAATAACAAAAATGTCATATGAAATCAAGTTGAATCTGCAATCCCCAAACAAACACACGCCCACTGTACAGGCACAACAGTTACTTTTGCACACACACATAGGCCTACACACACAAACACATGAAAAAGTGTGGGGCCCCCATTAACATTTTTATTATTTTCCTTTATAAATCATTGGTTAGAAATTTCAGTTAAATATATTGAAATTATTTTTTTATTTTTATTTATGAACATGTTTAATTTGGTTCAAATAATTCTTGCACACTTTCTCTAAATGATACAAACTTTTTTTTCACTTCTCAAATATCACAGTGTTTGTCTCCTATATGAATTATTTATAAATGAAAATCATACAAATTGACAGAGGTTGTGCCGTTCACCAATGGAAGCAGCAGGAAGTACTTGTCTCCTGCTTCTGAATGGTGAATTATGATGTCAATAATTTTATTTAACCAACGAATGTCTGTGTGTCTCACTTTCGTTTACTTTCATCCCAAAACACAAGCGATCCAGTAACGAGACGCGGAAATGGTGAAAAAAAATTTATAGATGAAGCTTTTAGGCAGAAGGGGCAGAGTTACATATAGATACAAATATTAGCCTGGATGAATCAATCAACTTTCAATCAACTTTATTTGTATGGCGCCTTTCCAACACAAGGCCACTCAAAGCGCCTCACAACCCACATAATATCACACAAATCAGAGACATCAATAAATACATTAAAAACAGAATAAAATCACAAGTAATGGAAAAAAAAATAAATAAAAAAAAAAAAATATTAAAAGCACACACGGGATTAAAATAATAAATAACCACAATGCATTAAAAAAAAAAAAGAGTATGTATCAATAAAATCCTTCAGCCGTATGCACAGCTAAAAAGAACAGTTTTTAGCCCTGATTTAAAAATTGCCAGAGTAGATGCTAGCCTCACATCTTCAGGAAGATTGTTCCAGATTTTAGCTCCATAAATCTCAAACGCTGCCTCCCCATGTTTAGTTCTGACTCTTGGAACCAGTAAGAGGCTACCTCCTGTGCTCCTCAGAGTCCGGGCCGGTTCATATGGCACTAACAAGTCGCTTAAGTACTTTGGTGCGAGGCCATGGAGAGACTTGTACACAAGCAGTGCTGCTTTGAAGTCTATTCTCTGAGCCACAGGAAGCCAGTGCAGAGACCTGAGAACTGGACTAATGTGGTCATATTTCCTGGTCCTGGTCAGGACTCGAGCTGCAGCATTTTGGACATACTGCAGTTGTTTTACAGCCTGTTTGGAGAGACCTGTGAGCAGGCCATTGCAGTAGTCTAACCTACTGGAGACAAATGCATGGATGAGAATCTCCAAGTCTGCTTTAGACACTATGTTTCTAATTTTGGTAATGTTTTTCAGATGGTAAAATGCTGCTGATGTTACTGATTTGATATGACTGTTAAAATTTAAGTCTGAGTCCATTATAACTCCTAGGTTTCTGACCTTGCCTACAGGTTCCAGGGAGAGAGACTGGAGGTGACGAATAACGCTCTCTCTTTGTTTCTGAGGACCAAAGACAAAGAATCTAAAAACAACTATAGGTCTGTGACTACTAACCCACTAGCTCAAAGAAGTCCAAAAGGGAAGTAGTCGTGGATAAAATTTCACTTAAAGTGGATTAAATTTTGTTTAAAGACAGCCGATGGATTTAACAAGGATATAAAGTTCAGGATGACAAGAGACGCTAAAATCCACACAAAATCAGATCTTTATGAAAGCTGTAGGTTCTCTGTCAGCTGAGGCCGAGCTGTTTTAGTTTACATTGAGTTCTATGGGGGAAATTTCTGGGTAGCCCACATAAACATTGTCTTATTTAGAAGCCCCCGAGCCCATGGGTGCTTCAGCTATAAGCTAATAATGCCCTATCCAGTTATCATTATAGATCCATGCACTCACCATGTTGGGCTTTTTTAGCGCTCTCTATGATCATATTTTGTCTTTGTAATTCCAGATATGAGACATCAGATGCCTTCATTTGAGGGGGAAACTCCAGCTTGCCTTAGCAACCATCGTAGCAACACATCTGCCTCTGTTACGGCGCAACGCTATTACTCGCAGAAAAAATGCCCATACAAGGAAATTGACTCGAGCTAGCTTAAGTTTAACACTAGGACTCCCAGAATTCTGAAACTACTAGAACTCCCACAGTAGTCATTTTGACGGCTCCCATTCAAATTAATGGCATTCTGATTAATATAAACTAAATAAAGCAAAACTAAATGCTAAGTGCTGCAAGTGAACAGTGTCTTGCTATGGTAACTAGCACTTGCTTCAAACTGAAATTGCTCTGACCTAGGATCAAGATGATTTCATAAACATAATGGCATAGAAATAAACTACATATAGAAACAGAAAGAGTCACAAATTTATGAAGACCAAAAACGTTCATAATCGGTGAAGCATTTAAACAGTGCTGCAGGTCTCAAGTGCGCATAAGCATAGGTCAAGTGTAGAAGCTGCATTGCAGATGTGAGGCCTGGAGACGCACAAATCATTTAAGCATATGTTTGTCTGATTCATAACTTGTGCATGAAGTAATTGCAGCTATTATTTGGATGTCCTGCATAATATCCACATGCACCATCTGCCTGAGCGCTCTCTGCATAAGCATGAAGACCAAAAGCTCTGGCAGGCGTCCACATGGCCGTGTCGTTTTCTCGCATCGTTTTGCACATTCTGAAAAGCAAGTACAAAATACAACAATTACAGATGTGGCGGGTGGGTCCGGCTCCTGGTTGGCATGCCAGCATAGGAGTTGTAAACATATTTTTAAGTCATCATGCAAAGTCATGTTCCCATAAATGTCATAGCATATCCTCTGTAATTTTATGGTCATCGCGCTCCATTGAAGAGCTTTGAAGTGTCTTTCGTTGCATGTTGTTTTGAACACTGAATATCTGTCACATGCAACAGGGCGCCACTAACATCGCACAGAAGACTGCTTACAGACTTGATTAAACATATTTTGCTGCCACGCAAACACGCAGGCCTAAATAACAATTGGTTTTCTACACTTTTCTACACACATTAATTTTCGCAATTTTTGCATTTGCAACCAATTTTATTGTTTTGGATTAGTGTTGAATGCTACATAGAGATTAAAGTGAATATGTAGATAAGAGACCCTTTATTTATCCAACAGTGAATGGAAAATTGTAACCTTCCATTCCAATATTGCGGCTATACTACCGACCACAATTGTATTCTTTCTTTGACATCTGTAAAGTACCCATTCAACTTTCAGCCCAAAGAAACAAATAGTGAATAATAAAAGGATTTATAATAGGATGAAGACTCTATAAGTTCGGGTCCTGGGAGCTTGAGAGTTCTGCGCAGTATCTTTGCTGTTCCTTCACTGCACAATTTTGTAACAAGATTTCCGAGGTTGTTCCAGGGATCTGCTGTAACCACTCCTCCAGCTTCGGGGTCAATGCCCCGAGTGCACCGATCACCACGGGCACTACTATTGCATGGCGCTGTAAAGATGGCGCCGTGGCAAGAGCTCTGGTGTGTGCCGTCTTCTCTGTCTGGTGCACACTGGGGTAGTCTTGTGCTGTTTTTCCAATGTGGTTTTACAGCAAATGGCAAATAAAATTCTTGTATCTTTTATCCATCACCTTTACCCTCCAGGCCCTCTCCAGCTCCTCTCTGAGCCCTTGGTATTTCTCAATCTTTTCGTGCTCTTTTTTGTCCTGATGTTCATGATCATTAGCCTGTCCGTCCGGAGGAGCGGATCCCTTTCTCATATGGGTCTCCCTCCCTGTGGGTTTCCCTAGTTCTCCTCCAAGGTTTCTCACTTTTTCCCACTGGGTTTTTTAAGAGTTTTTCCTTGTCGATGCAGGAGGGTCTTGTTGGACAGTTAGTGTCCAACAGAAAGGATTGGTGATGATCAGGACACTTTAGCATTCTACAACATGTATGGACATTTTCTTCTGTGTGTGCTTTATATTCTTCATGTGTTTTAACTGTTGATTCTCTGACCTGTGTTGGTGATTTCAATGGTTTTGTTAAGTCCTCTGAGATGACTTCTGTTGTGACCTAGGGCTATACAAGAATAAATTGTATTGTATTGTATTGTATTGTATGTTACAATTGCTTGGAATTGCCACGTCCACCACCACGGCTGTCTTCTGCCCTTTGTCTACCACCACGATGCACCCTGCAGTTATGTGTTGTATTGTTTCAGGTGCCTCTTTGCTGTACCAGCACTTTGGGTCTTGTCTGGTGTGGTATATCTGGGCTTCTATCGCTCTGGTGATCAGGGCCTGTTCCTGTGCAGCCATGATAAGTGCCTCTGTGCTGTCCTGTAGGCCAGCCCTTTCTAGCCATTGGTAGGTCTTCTTGAGATCAGCCACTTCTGTTATGCTCCGGTCGTACATTCCGTGTAGGGGCTTGTTCTCCCATGATGGGCTCTCCTCCAGCACCTCCTCATCTCGCCACTGCCTGAGACATTCACTGAGTACGTCATCCGTTTGGGCCTTATCCATGATGAAGTTATGGAGTTTGGATGTTTCGTCCTGGACAGTGGCTCTCACACTCACTAGTAAGTAAGTAGTAAGTAATCTTTATTTATATACCACCTTTTCACTGCACATCGGAGTCTCAAAGCGGTTTACAATTGTTATTTTTGGGAGTGGGGGTGCCAGTACAGGAGGCACATGCCAGACCTATTGTACATATTTTTAGTGGTAGGGGAAACCGGAGCACCCGGAGGAAACCTACGCAGACACGGGGAGAACATGCAAACTCCACTCAGAAAGGCCCTGGTCCAACCGGGATTCGAACCCAGGACCTTCTTGCTGAGAGGCGAGAGTGCTATCCACTCAGCCACTGAGCCACTAGTCCTCGGCCTCCTTGTGTACGACCTACGTACAGTCTCAAGGTGCTGGATTTGGGATGAAACCCGCCATGCGTGGTGATTATTCCTGCATGGTATCTGATCTCTGACAGGGTGAAGCTGTTGATATAATATAATCGGATTATGTTTAGGCCAGCAGAGACAGTCTTGTAGGCTTTGAGGGTCTGCCACTGCTTGAAATTAAAAAAAAGCTAGATTCCCCAGCTTCTATTACTACCACATTTAAATTGACTGTACATAGATCCAGTAATAGTTAAGATCTCTGCATTCACATCACACATCAGACTTCCTGGGCCACTTTTCCCACCAGACTTTCCACCCTCTTCAACTGTGAATGATATGAGCCATGCAAACCCAAATTACGTTTTGAAAAATACACAGTGCCAACAGCGGCACCAAATCAAAGTGTTTTACAGAATACATTTGCCTATTTATTTAGCTGGCGCAGTAACAGGCAGGCAGTGCAGTCTCACTCAGGCTGGAAAGTGCCACGCCAATGACACTCTCTCATTAAGACAGAGGCTGTGTGTGGCCCATCAGCGTCCAGACTCAGATTTCCACTTCACACGGACTAACTCAACTAACTCCAATGAAGACGTGATGGCAATACCTGATCAAAGGAACCATCGTGTTTCCAATGTCTGGGTCAGCCGGTCCTGTTTTCCCCACATGTAACACAAGATGAGAGCTGACCTAAGACCGAAACATAGTGATCATTTGGCCTCAACTGCAAAGCAAGGCAAGGAAAATTTATTTATATAGCCCAATTCATACACAAGGCAATTCAAAGTGCTGAACAAAATAAGAAAGCATTAAAATCATAAATAATCCCAGAACATTAAAAAGAAAGCTAAAAATATAAAATCCCTCAGTTGTATGCACAACTAAACAGAACCGTTTTTAACCTGGTTTTAAACAGTGTCAGAGAGGAGGCCTGTCTCACATCTTCAGGAAGACTGTTCCAGATTTTAGTAGCATGAATCTGAAAAGCTGCCTCCCCATGTTTAGTTCTGACTCTGGGCACTAACAGGAGTCCAGTCCCTGTGCTCCTCAGAGTCCGGGCTGGTTCATATGGGACTAACATGTCACTAATATATTTTGGTGCGAGGCCATGGAGAGACTTGTACACAAGCAGAGCTGTTTTAAAGTCTATTCTCTGAGCCACAGGAAGCCAGTGCAGAGACCTGAGAACTGGACTAATGTGGTCGTTCTTCCTGGTTCTAGTCAGGACTCGAGCTGCTGCATTTTGAATGTAACTGCAACAAATGAAGACCTACACACTTATTTGTCGATTGAAATTTTCAAGACATCACTGTTTCAAATGAGGTATAAGTTAATTGAGGTGACTATAGTAGAATGTAGTAGTGGTAGTGTAGTAGTATAGTATGGAGTACTCTATTGCAAAGTTTGTCGTTGGAGGGAATATGTCTCTCTACTGGCCTGGGATTGCCCTGGGGTTCCCCCAAATGAGCTGGAGGGAGTGTCTGTGTACCCATCCTTCAATGACTCAAAACAACTTGTACAGAGCATCTATAGAAAAAAAAACAGACTTTTGCTGAATGCACTTGTGCACATGTGTTTATCACAAAACTGACAAGACATACAGTATTTCAGGAAGTCAAGTGCATAATTTCTATAATAGATCAGCAGTTTTAATGACAGCCTCAATACAGAATCTCCGGTGGCAGTAACGTCCCTGAATTCCATCATAATGCGCCTCGTTGATTCCATTCTTCTGTACTATAAACTGTACTTTACTGTTTCATTTTTATATGCTCCTCCAAACTACAACAAAAAGGTGTCTTTTACTAAAGTTGTTTTTAATATAATTGTAATTGACTCAGCAATTGTACACTGTGTTGATGAGTGAGTAGCCTAAAACAAATATCTCACTTGGAGCAAAAAAAAAAATCTGAATCTTGAACCTCTCAGCTGGGATCTGCTTGTCGACAGTAACATTTGGTTGGAAACCACCAGAACCCCCAAGTTCCGATGAGGCATTTTACCTCCCATTTTTTTTGGAATTTAAAAGACGTGTCTCAGATATGTCTGATTGGCTGCAGTCGGCACGAGTAACAGTCTTCATTTGGGTCGAGGATCATCCAGAGTCCTGATGGACAGGCCTTTGGATCCTCAGCTCAGTGATGGTGTTTTCCACTTGACCATTTTGTTCCATAACCCTCACAATCATTAAAGAAATGCCAAATTACTGTCTCACTACCTCCCACCACAGCAGTGATGCAGCACTGTGAGAGTTCAACTATCAGACCACAATTCAAAAATATCACTTTTTTCCCCTTTTCCAACAAAATATCATGAAAGTATTTGGCCTTTAAAGTGTAACTAGTGGCGTGCATTGTGTAGGTAACCTTTGTAAACTAAATATTGTATACAGCAGGGACAAAATGCATTGTTATTATGTGTTCTGTTGAGCTAGTGTCTTGTGGGGGTGACTTCTCCATGGCCGCATCCAGCTCAGCTCTATGATGCTGTGAGGAAAAAAGATGTTTTGATTTTATTCTGTTTTGTAAAAGTCTGTCTGTTTTTTCTCTGTTTTAGCTCCTATTTTGTTCTCAGTATTCTCAAGTTTTAAAACTATCGCTTCATTGTTTGGTACTCTCATGTGCTCAATGGAGCATGAGGTTTGTAGCCTATTGTGTGGGTGTAGTAGTTTTTGTGGGTGACTAACAAGTTGGAGGCCTTGATTTAGACCCAAACCCATCTGAACACATTGCACAGTCCGCACTATGCACTTTAACCTCTTTAATCAAGCATTATCCTGCACAAAGGCACTTTGGCTAGTGGTATTGTATTTTATTTTTGTTTAGGCCTTATACTAGTTTCTTTGTCATGAGATAGAAAACAAATAAAATTGTTCCTTGCAGATGCAGGACAGTGATGATCCGGGACATTTATGGACAGTGGTCATCTCGCTCCCCATTTTTTTTTGCATTTAACTGACTTCCTGAAATAAACATAATTCAGGAAGTCAGGTGCATAATGTATACAATATATCAGCAGTTGTATTGACACCCTCAATACAGAAACCCCGGTGGCAGTAATGTCCCTGAGTTCCATCATAATGCGCCTCGTTGATTCCATTCTTCTGTACTATAAACTTTAATTTACTGTTTAATCTTCCTCATTTCCTCTTTTCAAACTGTTTCAATTGAAATGGAAGAATTAACTGTCCTTCATTTCACTGTGAAACAAATGAATGTGACACTTTGCCACATCCTCTCTGGTTCATCATTGTACTCTGCCTGAGGTGGGGTCCTTCCTTACTTTGTTATGAAAGGTGAATGTGGATTTTTAAACTTTTGAACAGGTTCTGTTTGCGTTGATTTATTATAACGTTAATATATTTTTCTGTACTATTTTTTCTCTTATAAAGGTTCAATGTAGAGCTAAATATGCAACAAGTAGAAAAAAATCTCATTGGGGCTTCACTGCTGCTCCGGATCTGTGGAAGTTTACTTCTGTACATTCGATTGGCTCCTCATTGGAGACTTTTAAATCTAGTCTTAACTCACATTTGTGCCTTGGCTTTTAACAACAACTGAGTTCAACTGTTTTATATTTTACATGTATTTGTGTGTATTTCATGGTGTTTTCAATTCTTTTTTTCTAAGTGCAAGTGAAACCATTTGGGCAGATAGTGTTTTTGTAAATGTGCTCTACAAATAAAGCTGACAAGATCAAACCATAACAAATATAATGTTTGTCATTCTCACGTGGTCCTAAAATGTTGATGTTTGATTTTTCATGTTGGAAATTAATAAACAGATGTATATGTGTTTGGCCGCGCTGGTCTTAAAGAATAAGAATACCAGATCCTTATTTGTCCCACAGAGGGGATATTTCAGTGATAAAGCTGGCTACCTAACTGTGAAAACTATGTAGCCAAATAGTTCCTCTCTATCACTAATTTCCATGTGTACGTACAGAATTCTTTGGCCTCTTTTCGCATCTTTCGCCTGTCAGACTGAAGGTTCATTTTCAACTTTCCTTTTAAAACAGTCACTGCAAAGCAAAGGTTACATTCTCCTTGCACTGGCTCCCGTGAATTTCAAAAATGTGAATCAATAATATTTGAACATCTGCTGAACACATTTACTAATTGAAGATAAAATGTTCTGTTTGTCGTTTGATAAATTAGAGTTGAGCAGAGCTGAACAGATGTGGAGACCTTTAAACTTCTGAAGGTGTATTGGATGTCTTATCTGTTCTGGTCATTTCATCATGCTCCCAGATGGTTTAGTTGAAAGCAGACTGTGCTGAGTGTTTGTCCTGAGATGCTGGCGCCACAGCTCTTCTTATATGAGCTTTATAAATATTTCTGATGCTAAAAAGATAGAGGTGGATTATTATGGGAACATAACGTCTTAACTACAGCTTCTTACAATAGGGTTTTTAGTGAGAGGCACATTGTGAAACAGGGGAGCCTATAAGTGGGCTATGTACCACTTGAACATGACATAAGGCAGAGCAGAGGTTCTCAACAGTCATAAAGTCACATCACAAAATAAACTTATTCCAATTCTATATACTTGTGTTTAAGCATCAATACCCATAAGCTTGTCATTTGGTTCAACTCCATTAGACATTACCTGTCATTCACTCTGTACACAGGGCTGGTAATCTACTGTACAGCTGCCCTGGAGCAGACTGACAGAAGTGAGCCTGCTAATCCATGTCATCAGCCTCTCTGACTACACACACACACACACACACACACACACACACACACACACACACACACACACACACTAACTCCCTCACTCTTATACAAGCCAAAATGGGTCTGGCCTATAGAATTCATGAGACTGCTTGTTCGTGGACTGCCCAGCGCCTCCCGCCACCTGTAGACTGCCGCAGCAGCCAAGACATGATCAGACAGTCAAGTACACAACCATTATATTTAAAAAAATATTCATGACACCCAAACAAAAGTATACAAAATACATTCTTTTATTCATCCATCGCTGTAAATACACAAAAAACCATTGTATTATCACAATATAGAATAGTGCTACAGTATAAATCTTCATTCCGTTAAGACACATGACCGATGAAGTCATGTCGACTACACCACTCCCCACGCCAGCCCTTTTTAAAACTCTATTTCTATAATAAGTAGGATTTATATTTTATATGTACATGATATACAAAAACTTTAAATACAAATGTCCCATCTATTTACAACACAAAAGCTTATTTGTATCCTATGGATACAATATATATTTGGATGGTCATAGCATTTGTGCAGAAGAGTTTACTGAAATTAAAAGAAAATAGAACATTTCATGACTTTCATGGCTGCTTTTATAATAAACAGGGTTGTGCTGAAATATTGATTGAAATCTACATTTCTTAAGAATCTGTCATTTTATAAATATTCCTTGGTCTCAAATCTCAAACTGGCAGCACAGATGGAAAAGCCTGCAATTGCATTTACTTGGACCTTGAGTCCTTTTACTGTGATTTGGAAAACAGTTTTCCCTCTGCTGTTGGGAGTGTACCTCCACCCAAGTCTAAAATAAAAAAATATCTTACCATTATTCACACAGGGCCAAAAAACATTTTTCTTTGGTTTCAATAAAACAAATTGGTATCCTAAAGATGTATATTGTACTGTACATAAAGAGCAGTGGAATCTGTAATGTATAAATAATCCCAAAATGATCTGAAAAGCAGGTGCTCCAACACATGTCTCTTCACATGGATGCTTTCTGACTGCGCGTGATAAAAGGACACATTCTGTCGGATCAGTTACACTCACACATACATAAATAACATGGCTTTTTGTTCACAGAATTATCTTGTCATTTTTATTTACATGTTTGGCAATTTGTAAATTTCCCCATCTAAAGGGAAGCCTGAACAAGATCCCAGCCTCTACTTACTGAAGTTATGTTCCCTGAAAGTCATAGTGTGGGGCTCTGCTGGTGACCCGGCTTGAATCCAGGAGTGTCCATCCGCAGGCTCTGTGTACATACAGTACAACATGTCCCCTCAGCACTCCGAGCCGTACTTTGGCCGGTCTCAGTGACTCTGATTATCTGTAGTCCCTTTAAGAGTTTATCTGGCCCTGAAACCTGGGCCTCAGACCTTCTGGCACATGTGGAGGCGGGACTTGGACGAGGAGGTGGCATCTTTCCACACCTTACAGGACAGGCCTTTGGCACAGTCACAGCGCTGGAAGATCTCCAGGCCGTGGGAGCCTTTCTTCCTCTGCTTGGTGCATACCTCTCCCAGCCGAAGCACCGGTTTGCAAATCTTGGTCCAGAAGTGGCGCGCGCAGCAGTATCCGTCTGAGCAGTCTGAGGAGCGTAGGCAGGGGTCGCCCTCGTGACCTGTGCGGAAGACATACTCTGTCAGAGAGGTGGAAACACACATGAGTGCTCATTGGGCTGCAATGTTTTCTATTTTCATGGGTTGAAACCTGACAGATCAGTGAGTTTACGTCAATTACATTATCTAGTCAAGATAATAGCATTTCTAGATAATAGCATCAGGAAGCACTCAAAGAGAATGAATGTTGAATGAGATGTTTTATAGAAGATGTGCATTCACAGTTTAATGATCTCACAATTGCCAATGAGGCCTTTTTGGTGAAACAAACTTTCTTATGACACAAGGACCATAGGACACAGTGCCACTAGATCACTGATGCTGTGGGTTTCCCTTGAGTCTCATACAACGGCCAAGTGTTCATCTGTGTTACCCAGGGTCACAAACAGCAAGGGCCATGGCTGTATGCTCAGGCCGAGCTCCAGGCTAGCAGACATAAACACTCAATGCAGCTTTAGACAGTCTGTCTGAGTTAAACACAGTCTCAGTGTCACACACTGGTGCAGTATGCTGCTATCATAACACTGTCGGTGGGGTTACACACACACGCACACACACACACACACACACACACACACACACACACACACACACACACACACACACATACTGTTGTAAGGGTTACGATCCCCTAGTACAGTGGTTCCTAGTAAAGTGGGCGTCCCAACCTCCCGGGGTTTTGCGAGATGATTTCTATTTAGTTATTTACATTTTTTTTTTTTTTTATTAAAGTGGAACAAATATATAGCCCCTAAATATTTTTGTTGCAGTTGATTCAATATGATTCAATATGACTAAGTGTTAAATTTTGTTAGGAGAAGAGTCTGGTAAAAATATAATATTTTTAAAATAAAATTGTAATTTTGTCCCAGACGTTATGTGATTACGACAGCGTCAATCAAAATCAAATTACGTAGTTTACATCATTTTACCCATTACCCATACTGCACTCTTTGTCACTGCTTCATGGGGGTTGAGCGCTAAAAACCTTTGGAACTCCTGCCCTAGTTCAGTAAGAAAATATTTGTGGTATATGTGGAATCCTGTTACTATCCTGAAAGTCCGCAGATACTGATGCAGAAGGTACTTACCTTTGAGTTTGCTGTGTGCTTTGCTGTTCTTCCTCCAGCTCTGATCTTTGTTTGACAGTTTATTGTGTTCATCGAATGGTGAGATGTGATGTGAGAGCACACTCTCTGAGATCGGCACGCAGATGTCTGGTGGAAAAACACAACAGGTACATGTTTCAAGGATATCCAACACAAACTGATCTTGGATCATATACTAATATTTTTTACTGTATATGTATAATTTATGTATGTATATGGGGCGACAGTGGCTCAGTTGGTAGAGCATTAGCCTTTGAGCCCAAAGGTCGTGGGTTCGAGCCTTCTCCACCGACTCCACTGATGTCTGCTGTCTTTGTGTCCTTGGGCGAGACACTTAACCCACTTTGCCTATAAGGAGCGTGGAAGTGATGTTCGCTGCTTGCCTTGATGTATATGTTTATGTGTATGCATCAAACGGAAAATTCCCCATTGTAGGACAAATAAAGGACCTTCTTATACTTACAGCTGCTGCAGCGGTTGCCGGGGCAGCACATGGCGTCGCGGTGGCAGCGCTTCTTGCGTCTGCGGCAGGTGAGGCAGCGCGAGGGCGCGTGCTGAGGGCTGTGGCAGTAACTGCCCATGCTGCACTCTTTGTCACTGCTGCATGGATACACCTGCTGGAGCAACACAGTGCTTTAGGACAGTGTCTGCAACTTAGGAAAACAGTGACCATGTTAGCTCAGATCTTTGTTTTTCATTCTTTTTAACATTACTTGTCATTGAGAAGATAAGTTGCCTTGAAAATAAAAATCTATCTTTTGAATGTCAAAAGTGCAGTTATTCAGTTAGTGCTTCCAAAAATGTGGTGCCAAGCTCCAGAGAGGTCTATGTGTCACACAAAAAACTGTTTTGGTTTGAACAACTAATAGCATCTTGACTAATAGCATCTTGACCAGCCACTTTAAATGTGTTTATTGTCCTTGAACAGGGGTCAATATCACAGCTCCCTGTGCAGATAAAGAAACCATCACGAGACTTATTATGTTTTCTTATATTCTATATACTGTATGTGAATTGTCACTGGCCTTAAGGAAGAGCTGTTCTATCATATTGTGAATATCTCAGAAACCACTGAGATGTATAATCCTGACTGGAAATACACTGCTGTAGTGTTTTCAAGCACAAGTTACTGCGGTAGGTCGCCGCAGTAACCAAGTATGACGCTCAAGAGCGCAGCTAAATAGCTCTAAGTAGGATAATGGGAGAGATGTTTGTCTTGGAGGACTTTAAGACGTGCGGACAGTTAGCAGTGGGCCCAATGTTGCAGCCAGGAGTTCAAGATCTGACTTTTATCATGTTTTCAGGCTGCAACATAGTGGGAATTTCATATGATTCTTAGCAAGCAAAACAGTGAGTATGAGTTTCAAGAGCTTAATGAGTCTACAGGCATAATGAGAGGGCAATTACTGCTGCTAATCATACAGCTCTGGAGCCTGCCTTTATTATGTCTATGGTTTACAATAAGTGGTCCAGACATGTCGCTGTTGTGCAGCCTAGCACTCAATGTCTAAGAATGTCCTTACGGTAATGTCCCGAAGCCTTCAACAAAATGTCCACTCCAACAAATAAAAACCGCGTAAACAAGCACGAAGGCGGGCGTGGATCTTTACTGGAAGCTTCATCTCAGAGCCATTCCAATTACACATTCCTCACATAACAAATGGATGGCTTGGTCACTTTAGTATGTAAACTGTTAGCAAATGTGTCCAAAGCAATAAAGTAGACTGCCAGTTCCAATCTAGACGGCAGTATGCTCATGTATTCTGCGTTTTATATGGGCAGAAGAATACGGTCTATGTAACATAACCTGACTCAGTTTGGCTTTTCCAACAAACAGGTCAGATCATTTTGTCAAAGAATACATGCAGTCTCACACCACTCTAGTCTCAGTATACATGCAGCCGACTCTTGTCTCAGTATACATGCAGACGGCTCTTGTCTCAGTATACATGCAGACGGCTCTTGTCTCAGTATACATGCAGACCTCTCTTGTCTCAGTATACATGCAGACCACTCTAGTCTCAGTATACATGCAGCCGACTCTTGTCTCAGTATACATGCAGACGGCTCTTGTCTCAGTATACATGTAGACCTCTCTTGTCTCAGTATACATGCAGACGGCTCTTGTCTCAGTATACATGTAGACCTCTCTTGTCTCAGTATACATGCAGACGGCTCTTGTCTCAGTATACATGTAGACCTCTCTTGTCTCAGTATACATGCAGACGGCTCTTGTCTCAGTATACATGCAGACGGCTCTAGTCTCAGTATACATGCAGACGGCTCTTGTCTCAGTATACATGCAGACGGCTCTTGTCTCAGTATACATGCAGCCGACTCTTGTCTCAGTATACATGCAGCCGACTCTTGTCTCAGTATACATGCAGACGGCTCTTGTCTCAGTATACATGCAGCCGACTCTTGTCTCAGTATACGTGCAGCCGACTCTTGTCTCAGTATACATGCAGACGGTTCTTGTCTCAGTATACATGCAGACCGCTCTTGTCTCAGTATACATGTAGACCACTCTGAAGAAGGTCCAAGTCCAGATCTAAAGATTAATATGCTCCCCTTGGAAGCATGGCAAACCAGAGACAGCTCAATGAATGATGGGAGGTACTAGCTGTAACCACTCAACAAGTTTTCAGTGCAACATCATGTGTATTGTTTCATTGCTTGTAAAGGGGAAAGTTGCCAAAGTACTGAAGTTGTATAAAACAGAGATGCTCTGACATCATTCATTTTCAATAGAAAAACACATGACAGACAGCACTATTTGTCTAGACTCTAGACACTCACTGACTAGAGGGATGAAGCTGAGAGAAGAAGAAAAAGAGATTATTTTGGAGGCGCCGTTTGAAGCCTCACTATCAGACATTATACAAAAGGAGAAAATTAAGTTACTAAACATTTAGTTTGGATAAACAGTCTCTCAAAGTCATTAAACGGGTGGCCTATAGGTACTTAATATGCAAAATAATCTAATAATGAGAGTAGGAAAATCACCTAATTTCATTTGTTTATTTTGTTAAAAAAAAAAAAAAAAAGGAAAAGGATCTAAAATTAGTACAATAGGATAAGTCCTGATTAGTCCCGCTGCATGGATCGGCACCAGTGGGGGCAGGTCCCGGCTCAAAAGTGGCCAAACTGACGTGCGCTGACATGCTTGTAATACCACCCCGGACCGATGGGGTTGGACCCGGAATAAGAATTAGCCAATGCTAACATATAGCATCTGCTTACTTCTCAAAAACGTCTTTACAGGATGGTCCAAAAGTTGGCTCTTGGCCCAAAGCTCCGTTCCACATGTGTGTCAATGCTGAGGGGAGTGAATTTTTTTGGACCAGTCTTGTTTACTCGCTGTGAATTTTTGAAGTCACTCGTTCAAATGAATGGGGCTTGTGCGGCCAATTTCGATCACTCCATGAAAGCCCAATTTTTGGCCCATTAGTTAGAACGGTGGAGATAGGCGTGACTATGTCCGTTAATATATACAGTCTATGATCGGCACTCTACCTCTTTACAAGATGTTAGCGGAAACAGGTTCAGACCGCCTATGAAGCTGGACCAAATTCACCAAATTCAGATTTTAGGGGCCCCTGATGTTATTTCCTATGATTATAATTATTATCATTTACATCAGCATTATCATTTTGCACCAATTATGTAATGGGCTACATATATTTAATCTGTTCGAAAGTTAAATATAAAAAATAAATCATTGGCCAATCAGTCTTGTTTATTTTTGTTCCAGTCTTGGTTAAATCCAAACAAAAAACATGTTTTCAAAAAAAGGCCACCCAGCTTTTTTAAAATTCAGCCCCTGACCAAAATGAGTTTTGGTCACACGTACTGTATTCTATTATTTGAGCAACAAAGACAACCCAATATTGGCAAATCCTCCACAAATTACGGATTCAGAAAATAAATATTGGAAAGAAAATTAAGACAATGTAACATGCATGAATCAATCAAAAATGTAAATATAAATGTGCACTTTATTGTCCCCGTAGGGAAATTTGTCCGCTGCATTTCACTTTCAGGAGCAGTGGAAAAAGGAAAACAGCAAAAACATGGCAAAAAGCCGTGAAAAGTCTATTCAGCTTGTTATCATGTTATGTCCCTTTTAAGCCCAACTTTCCTCAAAAGACATGACCAGCAGGACCAGACAAAACAAAATAAGCGTCCAGTGCAAAAACCACCGCAGCGCTGCAAGCCCATCCAGTGACAGATCCGATTTAATGCGGCCAACCTCTGACAAACGCTCAACAATTAACACGACGGCCGACACGCAGAGGCCAAATAATTGCGACCACAAAAAGCGGCCAGCTCCACACGTCGCTGCTAGGACTGCATGCAACATTCCAAAACCACGGGTGCATGCCACATGTTAAATCAAGCCTCCAGAATATATCAATATCTCAGCAGCACATACGCGTGGTTATTGGATGGGCCTGCGCCATAAAAGCGAGCAAGATTAGAGGCGCTGGACCACTGCCATGATTATATACGTTCTCTGTCTGGAAACACATGGATACAATGATACAGAGAAGTATAAGACTGCCGGCGTATTTATTAGTGTGTCAGTCCACCATACAACAACGTGAGGATGAAAGTGATAGTGACTGAGAAATGAATAATAATAATAAAGTGGGGACATGGATTGGGTTGTAAGCTATTCAAAACAGTTGTAAGCCTAAATGTCTGACTGTACACAAATGTGTTTCAAATATCTGTACGGGTTGAGCTCTATCCTCTCCTCCTTTACCTGTCATCATTTCACAGTAATACTTATGTAATAGTATTTGATGATAAGAAAGTACGTGTCACACAAACTTTTAACACAAGGACTCCCAGATTTCGGAGACTACTAGAACTCCAAGAGAATTCAAACCAATGGTTCTCTGAGAAATTCCCTCAAAGAACGTTAAGTTTTTCACAAGATTCATCAAAAGAAAATGATCACCTTTGGTGCTAAAACTGGTCGTTATAACTGCAACTGAAATACAGCAAAACAAGGCTAATGCTATCTTCTGACACTAAAAAGTCTGTTGCTATGGTAACTAGCATGATTTTCCCTGGTGTAAAATTAGTTGAAGGTAGAACTACTTACATTTAAAAAGCAAAAGATAATTTCATAAACAAAATAATGACAAAGAATTAAACTACATAAAGATACAGAAAAAGTCACAGTTATGAAGCCCACAAATACACATGAGATGAGTATTTACACTTCCAGAACTAAAAGTCGTCAAAGTAACTGCTCTGGAAGTTCTAGTGTTAAAATATCTAACTAAATCACCTCATTTGTAACATTTGTGCATTTGTTGTATTCAATCAAACAGACAAAAAACATTTCATTCACAGAAGTTTCATGGCACGATGAGGGGAAGCTGGAACCCGGCCTCCCCAGCCTGGATCCGGGTGCCCTCTCCCTGAGACTAACCCTCAATTTACAGCCAGCGGCGCCAGCAACGTAAACTACAGGGAAAACAAATACGCAGGAGACGCATGTAGGAAGTGTTCAAGTGAAATTTACACAAGAAACACTCATTCTATGCTTTTTTTCTTAAGCCTGGAT